AAATAAAGTAACCTAGGAAGAAAAAAAAATCAATGGAAAAAGAAAAAAAGAGAAAAGAAATAGAAAATGAAATGATCGGTACTTTACTATCGATTGTTTTCGTCAAATTTTGCTAACAAGCTAGCGACTGTCTCGAAGAAAAGTCACTAGCTTCGTACCGATCCCTCTTTTCAATTTTTTTTTTCAATTTTTTTTTAGTTAGTTTTTCTTTTGTTTCTCTTACCATAACAATAAATTATCATATTCATGTTCTTCAAAATATATTTTTCCGTACAAAATCTATTATAATTCATATTTAAACACTTGAAATCAACGACTTAAACCTAAATCTAAAGACATTTTTCTATTTTTCAACTAGTTCAAATCATGAAGTGGTTTGATTTTGCATTTTGAGATAAAACTCGCTACCTAGTTAAATTTTATTCTTTGTTCTTTATAAGAGATATTGAGAGGAAAGAAATTCGAACACATGGATCAGAACTGTTCATATTGTAAATCACTATATAAATATCACATCTGCAAAAAAAATCAATTAAAACTAAGGTCGTTTAGTCATCAAATTGTATAAAAGGTTAAAAACAGATGAACAGAATTAGTAAAAGCATTATGAACCATCCATTTATTTGCTACAATAGATTGACTAAACGACCTTAGTTTTAATTCATTTTGTACAGAGACGATCTTTACATAGTGATGTATAATATGAACGGTTCTAATTATAAGCATGAGTGATTCGAACACAAATTTTTTTTAATAGGAGTCCCTACTCTTAAGTAGCCAAATATTGTTCATTACATTCGTTTTATTCGAGGACTTAAATCTTGTGCAGCTCCTCAGTAAATGATATAACTGCCTATAAATAATTAGTAAACAAATATTGTAAAAACTTAACAAAACCGTTGTCAAAAGAATCTAAGCCGTTGCGCAAAACGACTCCGTTTAGTCAAGCGAACAGATTTAGCGCGGTTCCGCGTGACCCAAGTCACCTCCTATTTATTACCAATCCCGCCACTCAGTGGTACAAATTCACACATTTACACAGTAGAGAGAGAAACAAGAGAGAGAGAGAGAGAGAGAGAGAGAGAGAGAGAGAGAGAGTAGCTTGACGTTCACTCCAAGGATCCAAAAATGGTGAAGTTCTTGCTTCAGATCTCCGCCGAGCTCAAGAATCTGACCGACCTTCAGCCGCAGGACGGCTGCGACGACCCGGACTACTCCTATTTCTTCAAGGTAAGACGTACATTTCCCTCCTTCCTCTTGTTTTTTGCCTCCAATGCGTTTCGCTTTGCTATTTCGGTTTGCGTTCTTGTTTTCTAGGGTTTCTGGCTTCGAATCGATGTCGATTTTTCTCGTCGCTAAATCTGCCGATGGTTAGTCGACGGCATTGACATGATTCTATTCGTTTTTTGTGGTTGTTGTAGCTGAGATGTGAGTGGTGTGGAGAGCTGAGCCCGAGAGAAACTTTTGTGAGCTTGAACGAGACTGTTCCTCTTCCAGCCCGCAATAAGAGAACCGCTAATGTCATCCGCAAGAGAACCGCTAAGGTCATCCGCAGGAGAACCGCTAATGTCATCCAGAAGGTAATCCCTCTCTCCCTCTCTTGATTACACAAGGGGATTTGTATGTAAAGGGCTTAGGGCTTGGTGAGAAAATCCAAGGATTCTTGTGTTTTCGCGTGTTCTTGCTTGGATGAGTAAAATGCTGCGTTTGTTTGAGTGCCTAATACGGTCTCGTATCGTTTCACTTACCCTGTACTAAATCAATTTGATGTATGCCTCCGGGGATGGGATGTTGAGTAATGTTTGCATAGGTAGCTTCGAACGTGGTTTTACGCAGTTTATGTGAAAGTGATTCTCATCCCATTCGTTGTTCGACTGATAAGAATTGTTAGTTGTTCGTAGAGCTCTGATTTGACACATTTTTGCCACCGTGATTTCTGATATTTCTGGTTGAAATTGTGTTTGTTACATACGGGGAACTTATCGATTTTGTTGGCTACATTATTCCTCTTTCATAATTTGATCGTGTGTGGATATGGGGCTTCTTCTAATGTTTTGGTTTTACAAAATATTTTCTGGTCAAGTTTGTTGTACATGGTTGGTGATTTTGCAAAATTTTCCCTTGTAGTGCAAGCTTTGTGAGCGGGTTGGAATGATCCTGATGCACCCAGGCCTTGGCATGCCACTGACCCAGGCAGCAAGTGATGCCAGGCAGTTCGTCCCCGTGATGATTTTTGATTTCAGAGGTTTTGTACCTGTGGACTCTGTATTTGTTGGTGGCTGGAGAGCTGAGTCTGTAAGTTTCTCTTCCTCACACGCGACTTTCAATCGTTAACTATATAGCATATGGAACGAAAAATTTCTCATTGTACTTCAGGGGCCGGAAAGTGCCTTCTGTAGGGCCTGTACCTCCTATGAACTTGAGCACATATATAAAAGTCTTGCTATTTGGACAACATTCTACTGACCCTTATTAGGGTCAGTAAATGTGGTACGAATAACATTATTTATGTGTTGAATACTTTCGTTATTCGCTTCTTAACTTTAGTGTTTAAGCGTTAAGGCTTGAATTATCACCAAATGTATTTGTCTTTACATCTTTTATGTCAAATTAAACTAGTGTTCATTTCTTTTGTAGCTGAGTGGCATAAATTTTGAGCACATTGACTTGTCGGCAAGGAAGTTTGTTGAGTATGATGTGGAGTACCCAGTTATGATTTCTAATCTTCAGGCTGCTGGTGGTTGGGTCTTTTATGCCACCTGAAATTCGTCGCGGTTTATAAAACTTGGTATGTGAAGCTAACTGTTCGTCTGTGAATAAGATAAAACTTTAGAGCTAATGTTGCAGCACGTTGTAAAATGATTTAGTTACATGGACACGACATGTTATGCTGTTAAACTTTCGAAATGAATGCATGAATAGTTTTACGATTCTACTTCTCTTGAGTAGTTTGAACTGCTTGTTTGTTTTGAGCGTGGTTGAATGGGACTACACCGTGACATCGGCTTCGGCTATAAAAGCCCTTACTTGGTTGTTTTTGACAGTCCACGAAGCTGATGCACAGGACAGACTTGGTTGTCTTACACATATTTCTGTGATGTATATATCTGTTGTGTTGTGTGCCCCGTTGCCGTGGATTGTAGTAACACTATGTGATGGTGTGACGGGTACACATATTCTTCTCATGATTTGGGTTCGAGTTGCGAGTGAAGGTGGGCTTACATGGTTTGCTGATATACCACCATCTCCAAAGAGTCCAGTTTCTCCAAATCACGATTCACGAGACGAATTTCTTAAATTGTAGGAGTCCCACTTGGGCCTACAGTCTACATACGGCCCATCCTCTATCACCACCATCACTAGTAAGCACACGAGCGACTAAAAATTGTCCACTCTTATGAACGAGGCAATTCAAACTACTTCAATTGAATTCAACGGTCTCTATTAACTTATTTTATTGGCCCACCTTACACAAATTAAAGATTATGATCTCTTTTTCACACAAGCCAAAGACTCAGATTTTCTAATCATTAGCCTCTGAATACTAAGGTTCGAAGAGAATCTAAATTCGCACATGAGTTCTTTAATACATTGACTTTAGGCTTGGACAGCTCACCAAGGCCTAAAATAGCTGGATTAATTGAAGGCTAATCTCTAAGTAAAGCCTGATTTAAGGGTGATGCTAATCTCTAAAGAAAGCCTGATTAGCATCACTCTCAAATCAGGCTTACCCTAAGAGAGCTGTCCAAGTCAGGCTCCTTCTAGGGAATGTGGTATTTCTGTAGGGAAAACCAGCAAGAAATTTTAACCAAATTTGTCTCTTGTTGGAATGGGTTATTCTCAAATAAGATCCTAATTCTATTTCGTAGTCGGAACACTTTAAGCACTGTTTTAAAGGAAAAATTCTTGCATTTGACTGCTATTTCATTCCATATCTATAGTTTGATTCTTAAAGTAATTTTCACTAACATAAGCTACACAAAATTAATCGCATTTAGACTTTTTTGTAATTTTTTGGTTTTTGAATTCAATCACAAGACTTTTTGTGGTTTGAAGAACCTCTCAATCTCATTCATAACGTTCTATTAGAATCAATTTTAAACATAAAATATAAATTTGACACCATATGTGGCACGTCGACATATTTTAAAATTTTACTTTTCACCCGATATATCAAGTTAAATTATCGTAATAAATGTTTTAAACAAAAAAACAATAGTAAAATTAATAAAATGCATTTAATAATCAATTAAAAAAGGAAAGGGATCCTCTCTGGATCCCTTCTTCCTAATCCACCAGATCAGGGAATCCGTGTCGTTAAAATTTGATCCAACGACTGAAGTTATTATAACTTTTAAAATGGGTCCATGTTTGTAGCCGTTTGATCAATTTTCAATGGCACATGATTCCCTAATTTGGTAGATTAGAAGGAAGGGATCCATCCCTTTCCTTAAAAAAAGATTCGAAGTTGTTGTCAATTTTGGGTGTCAAATGTCAATTCATGTCATGCCACATCATATTTGGTTTTTTAGTTGAAAAACATTATTGCTGCTCTTTTTTATACTGTTAGTGCTAATTTAACATTTTGACACATCCATATCCTCCATTAAAGATGCTCTTAGGTGTTTAAATAACAATGCTCATCATAAAAATCCTTGAATGTCATTGGAAAGACACATTCTTCGCCCATTTTACCAATCATAGACAGAAAATACATTCTCTTTGGTACAATTTGTTTGTTTCCAAATCCTCCATAGTGCAATTTTTTTTTTAAACAAACAGTATTATTTACATTAACGGGTGTGAGAACGGTCTAAACCTCATAATGAGCGAGGCACAATAATGTGATTTAAATTTGTTGTTGTACAAATTTAGCTACCAACTTTGTTTTTAATGACAAAAGTAGATACTTGTGCCCATCTCACATTTATTTCTTTGATTTGTTACCATTAAAACTTATATATTTTTCAACTCTACCATCTCAAAATTTACCCGAAAAATACACACGCGCAACTGGATCAGGTTAGTTAGTTCTTCTTCCCAACCGACAAACCGATCCCATCTCCTTCTCACTCGCCTCGTGTGGAGGAGAATCATCAAAATTCAAACATAATAACTTTCTTAAAATCTCAGAGATTCCTCATATCTTAAATCTCACACAAAACGCACACTCTCAAATAATTCAGACAACCTTTGTTGCTGTCCCTCAAGTGTTCTCTGCGTATCCGCCTTCTATTGTTCTTCATCGAACTGACCGCTTCTCGTACTCTCGGGCGCAATCCAAGCGGTGAAGTTGAAGGATCCAAACCCTCCTTTCATGTCCTTCAATTCGGCCTCCAACCTTTTACAGTCACATGGTATGTCATGCTTCTTTTCTGGTGCATAAGCAGTTCGATTCGTTTAACATTCGATCCCAGCTTGGATTCTTGTTTTAAGATATGACCTTGATTTGTCGACAACCCATGTGAAAAAGTCAAGGTTTTTATGCAGCATGTGTTGAGTTTAGATCTTGGGATGCTGTAGAATTAGTTTTCAGATCTGCCAACATATAGTTTTTGCTTAGTGGGGTTGTAATTTCGGAGAAAACTGAGTTATTTCGATTGGAATATGATTAAATTCAAGTCCAGTTTACTATCTGTGATGCAAGATGTGATTTTGGAATCTGGAATTTCTGCTTGTTTGAGAGAAGTAAGTTCGTGTCGAAAATTTTGATCTCAGACACTTGGAGGTACCCTGTCGAAATCAGAAGAGTTGAGGAATTTGATTCTGGTGGGGTGTTTTTATCGAGATGCAGAACTTGCAATTGAGGGTTGTGCCGGTGGAGGAAGGGAAGGACGCCGGTGTTAGTAGCAGCCGCCCAAGCCAAACGAAGGCCTTGCCGATTAGGCTACTGCAGTTATTCGCGCTGTTTCTGGTTTTCTGTATTACTTTCTCAGTCATTAGCATATACACAATTCGGCATTTTGGAATCATTGGCGTGATGACAACAGTCGCAGCCTCTTTCCAGCCATGCCTTGAGGAACCAAGAGGTTTGGATCGATGGATTAAGCCGCCATCAAGTGTTAAACACACCATGAATGATGAGGAATTGTTGTGGAGGGCTTCATTTACGCCTAGGATAAAGAAATATCCTTTTGAAAGAGTTCCAAAGATTGCATTTATGTTCTTAACTAAGGGGCCGTTGCCGCTGGCACCCCTTTGGGAGAGGTTTCTGAAGGGACACGAAGGGCTTTATTCGGTCTACGTTCATTCACTACCATCGTTTCAACCCCATTTTAATCCTTCGTCAGTTTTTTATGGGAGACATATTCCAAGCCAGGTATGCACCTATCTATGTAATATTGAATCCGTTTATGATATTCTATGTTCTAAAGATTCTGCAATAAGTGCACAGTATGTGTTTTTGGGTTTGGTATTTGTTCAATATCTTTTCTTCTTTCAATGGTTTCTCTGGCTTCTACTTTTTGCACATCTTGATTTTCTCCGTGGTGAGCGCACACACCCTGGTTGCTTGCATTAGGGTGTGTATCCAAAGCTTAAAATATAACGAAAATGGAATGTGTCTCTGCAAGAGGTGGTAATTTTTCGAGATCACCAAGGAAAGGGTTAAATCTGTGTATTGGTAGAAAAGTAGCAATTCAACTTTATCACGTTTGGATATACAGTGATGCAGGATACCATCTCCGGGGGAGGGAAAACGTTTTAGATCTGGAAATATGTAATGCAATATCTCTAATATATCAGCTAAAAGTTTTGGTGTTCCCCTGCGCAGGTTGCTGAGTGGGGAAGAATGAGCATGTGTGATGCCGAGAGAAGACTCCTTGCTAATGCATTGCTCGACATATCCAACGAACGGTTCATTCTTCTTTCTGAATCATGCATTCCGCTCTATAATTTCAGTGTCATTTACCAGTACTTGATGAAGTCCAAGTACAGCTATGTGGGTGCATTTGATGACCCCGGGCCATATGGAAGAGGACGCTACAATGACAACATGGCACCTGAAGTGAGTATATCCAAGTGGCGTAAGGGCTCCCAGTGGTTTGAAGTTAACCGAAAGCTTGCCATCACCATTGTCGAGGATACAAAATTTTACCCCAAATTTAAAGAGTTCTGCAGACCCGCATGTTACGTTGATGAGCACTACTTCCCCACCATGCTAACCATTGAAGCTGGGAATTCTTTAGCAAATAGAAGCATCACTTGGGTAGATTGGTCAAGGGGTGGTCCTCACCCGGCTACCTTTGGAAGAGCGGATATCACCGAGGAATTTTTGAAACGAATTTTTGAGAGACAACGTTGCACTTACAATGACCGGAACTCTACAGTCTGCTTTCTTTTCGGAAGGAAGTTTGCTCCGAGTGCCATGGAACCTCTTTTGCATTTAGCACCAAAGTTTTTGGGCTTCTAAGTTACAAGTTTCTAACAGATAAACCCTCATCCAATTCGACTTCTGGAGCCAAACGAGCGTGCGAAATTCGACCGGTGTGTATTACTCGTTACCATAAATTCAACCTCAGTTGTAATGTTTACTAGTTTGGGGTGTCACTTGATAGCTCTTTGGCAAAATATACTGCTTAAAACAGTATCAGATGTACAGAGAAGTAGGCGCCCAATTTAGCATTGGCATTCACATTTTTGTATTGAGAATTTGATATCATACATACACTGTATTTGAAATAACATTTTCTTGATTCTGTTTTCTTTTTTCTGTGCGCATGAATCATGGCATATGCTACCAGTGGCGTAGTTAAGATTTTTAGGTAGTTTCAACGAAAAGTCCGTGGTACTGTTCATTTTAACGAAAAACCACATTTTTACACTAAAAAGTCAAACATAGTACTATTCACTTTACCCTTTATTTTGTCATTTTCGTTAAAACTCAAAGTTTTCAAACTTTTTTCGTTAAGTTTTCCTTTTTAATTAATGGGGTCATAACATCAACCAAAAAGCTTCAGTGTGCCATTTCGTTGAGCACCTAGTTGGCAACTGCCAATTCTTATTAGCATATGCCGAAAGTTATGCCTACATAAGTCGACAACTATTATTATTTGTAAAGGCTTGTCGAGGGTGGATGCAGGATACTGTGGAGGAATGTTGAAGATTGCTAATGCTTTTCAACTAAAGTATTTCATACAAGAAGAGAGAAAATAAAGACAAATATGATAGAAGAAAATAAAATCAGTAAGAGAAGAAGGTTGAAGTTTAGTTTGTCTTAGCTGTTTATAAGGATTAAATATAATATACAGATAAATATATGTGGCTTTTTAGAGTTATTGAAGTCAAAGACAATCAATGACTCTATTGACTTCGCCACCGTAGTATATGCGTAGGCGACTGTCCGTAGTATTTTAAGAATGCGTCGGAGAAAAATCCATTTATGTTTAGGTGTAGGACCAAACCTGATGTGACCAACAAAGAATATGTTGGGCCCACACAAGACCCATTACCCTCTGGATACGGCATGGAATGTGGAAGAAATTTCGGAAAAGCCTTGGAACACATTAATGGACCTCAAACCCATTTAGTTCCGCTTTCTTTTTGGTACACCAATTCTTTTTCTTTTTCCTTTAATTTTTTTGGAGCCGCATCGCTAATTAATATTACAGTCTAGTTATATTTTTTTTTATTTGTATGCAAGAATTATTAGGTTCGATTGTTATTAAAGGAGAATTTGAACTATATTATTGCTAGTATATTGTGAAGCGGATCGAGACTTGTCGTTTTATTCTTTACTCATTCCATACTAGGATAAGCCCATTATATTCCCTTCAATGTAGATAATATCGTTTCTTAAAAAAAAAAATCACTTTCGCATCAAAGTTGTCTAAGAAAACAAAATCAGTCCAGCAGGACAAAAAATATATAATAAGCATGAAATGGCAAAAGTATACATTTGTAAACTAAACAAACAACTTAGAGCATCTCGAACAGAATCTTCAAACCCAAGGTGGACTGCCATGTAACACAATTTGAAAGCATGAAAGAAGCTTCCAATTAGAGTGTCATTCCTACGTGAATTAGCATCAAGAGTGTGTGTTTTTAATTTTAACAGCAGATAAAGATAAATCAATTAGACAGAGTAATAACAATCACAACGATAACCAATATAATCGAACAAGAGAGCTCTATTTACCACAGACGGAAAATACCTAATCTAAATATAAAAAATATAACTTTGAAACCTAACCTAGTAACAGCATTCGTCACAATTTGATCAAGTATCGTCATCACACTTACAATATCAAATAATATATATAGAGCAAAGTACGAACTCGTAGAAAACTTGGTCTCCAACAACTCAACTACCTCTAAAAGTAAAGTTATTTATTTATTTTTCTTTTTTGGTAAGCTGTATAAATTTATTTCTTTAAATTGAAAACAAAATTATACAATGTCTAAATGAGAAAAATAAATTTGAAATTTTGATAAAAGTCAGACTTTATAAATTGACGTGCATTAATTCTCTTGGTTGAATTCATAAACATTCTGTGTGGAAAAAAACATGGAATTTGGAAGCTCCAATTTTCAAGTTTAAATTCCATATAAACAGGTTTCATTTCTAAGTTTTCATGAGTGATAGTTTTAAAAACAAATTCTGCTTCGAATTTCATTGTTCTTCTAAGTTAATCAAATAAAAAAAATTATAAATTCTAAAAATTAAAGTTCTGTCATTTTAAAATTTCTTCGTCAAAACAAAATGTTAGCTGTCTTACATTCCCTCATTATTTCATATGTAGACAATCATGGGCCATCCTATGACGAATGTGAACATAAAAATGCCACACCCCATCACCTGTAAGGGCACTATGGTAACTTCCACTCATGCATGTGCGCCCCGCATCTTCCAAACATATGATCCCAAGCGAATGTTCCGGAAACAAGCAGAACCAAATCTCCACACTACACCTGTCGTATCTTTTTCTTTGCGATTCAACACCCTGTCGTTTTCTCACTCCCCACGTGTCCGCCCCGCATTGGCCGCCGTGTTGTTCACCAGAAAGTCAGGCAATTCTACGCTGTAATCACTCTGATTCCGTATTGTGGGCCCTTTTTTTTTCCCTATTTAAATTTAAAAAAGGAAAACAAATAAAAAACCAGTAATTCTTACCGCGGAAAATGTTACAGTCTCTTCCTTTTCGGCGTGGTTCCACGCGTCCATATCCATCGTCAATGTTGCGGAGTCACCTGATTCGGTGCGTGTAGAATCCGATTCGCGCGAGTCAGATTCATACGCGTCACTGTAAAAATTCCCGGAATATATTCTCCACTTGGACTAAAACAAGAAAACCCCTGACGTTAGGGCATGACCGAATACGTCGTCGTTTAGGTTTTACTGTAATTGCCAGGAAAGTTAAAACGACCCACGCGTGTACAAATGAATTCACACGCCGCACGCGATGTGTTTTATAGTGGGGCCCACAGAAAAATTGTGGCTGAATTGCAGCATTAGCGCCGTAGTTTATTCAAATTTTCACTTTCTTATCACATTCAACTTTAGTTTTTTTTTCCGCAGTTTTGAGTGGAAAAAAACAAAAAACACAAAGCTGCAAAATCCAGTTTTGAAAAACTGGCCGTGGTGTCAGCAGCGGCGTCATGTTTTCCCTCATTTTCTCCCCAATCAACACACCCACAGCGGTCCCCACACCTCGTATGCTGCTCTTCAACAGAGCAACCCCTCTTCTCTTGCTCATACTCAGGCTCTTTGAAACAAACGAATTTACCCCTGCACCAACCTTCCTATCGTCGCCACTACCTTTGCTGGAAATGCTCTGTTTTCGCATAACCTCTTTCACCACCAATGAGTAGCCGACACATTTCTCAAACTCATCCATCGTCAATTGCTTACCCATTTGGAGATCGTTGAGTCGATTCCAGCACCTGTCTTGATCATAGTTCACAATGAACTCAATTCCCCGTGTCCAGATTCTTCATCAAGAAGAAGGCTCCTAACCGATTGTTTGATAAGACCGACGACAATCCAACGTCGGTCCGAACCGATCGGCTCTTGGGGGTTTATAACTGTTTATAAATAGTTTATCTAAATCTTATAAATGTCATAAATTATTATATAATATTCAACATCATTTTTTTTAGTCATTTTACACAGTCGTAGCGGTTTTACATAAAATTTTTACCAAACACTTTGACACTGCTTTTTTTGCCAAAACCAAACAGTCTACTGCTTTATTTTATAACTTTTTATTATCGCAGCACAGCAAAAACAATTTTTTTTCAAAGCACAGCAATATCGAACCAGCTCTTAGCACCAATTGTTTACGTAAATAATTTCAGCCACAACTTTTTTTTTATTTTTTTATATCCTATATACTTGAAGTTAAAACAAAGAAAACAAAATGTAAATAGATAAATATATACACATTGAGGAGTTGGAGATTGGATAAGAACAAAACGGACCGATAATAATAATTTCGCTTCGAACTCGATATGAATGATTGTCTAACTTACTATCTTTCGTTTAAAAGTGAAGTGATTAACGCTAAACTACAGTATTAAGTGGGAAAAATAAAACTTTTGCAAAAGAATAAAAGGAAAACTAATGAAAAGTTCAAAAAAAAACTTTAATTTTAATGAAAAATGACAAATAAAGGTGTAGTGAATAGTAACAGAGAATGGTAAAAATGCGATTTTTCGTTAAAAACAAACATTACCAGAAGTGTTTCGTTAAAACTTCAAAGAATAAATGAAAGTCAAATTAAGTGACAGATTAGACTGAAGTGAAAAATATACAAAAATGTGTTGACAAAATTAAAATTAGAGTAAATTGTACAAATGGTCCCTCAACTTTAATCAAATTGGAGCAATGGTCCCTCAACTAAAAACCCATTACCTTTGGTCCCTCAACTTATCAAAACGTGCAGCTATGGTCCCTCAACTAAAAATCCATTACCATTGGTCCCTGAACTTTAATTCAAGTGGAGAAATGGTCTTTTAACTTTAACCCAATTGTAGCAATGGTCCTTCCAATATAACTCGTTTTGACAAATTTTTTGACATAGTTGACGAAAAGAACCATAATTATACACTTTGATGAGTTAATGGACCCTAATTATATAAATGGTCATTCCAACATAGCTTATTTTGACAAAATTGATGAAAAGGACTATAGCTACACATTTGATAAGTTGAAGGACCAATGGTAATGGATTTTTAGTTGAGGGACCATTGCTCCAATTTGATTAAAGTTGAGGGACCATTTGTACAATTTACTCTTAAAATTAAGGTGAATTCCAGAGCTACTAGAGAAATTACTGAAATTCGGACAAAATTTACCATATTAAGCAATGTGAGCTGTCGCGCCGTACCAATAACAATTGGCCAGCCTGTTTCCAACGGGCACCTGCCCGACCTGCCCGCCACTCCCCACAAAAAGCCCCAGCTATAAATACATTCACTGCGGCCACTTCCTCTCACCTCATACACTTTGTGCTTCCAGTCTCTCCGCGTCTTCAAAAACCCTAAATTCCCGAAAGAACAGAGTTCGAAACCCTATCAACAATGGCAGTCTCAAAGGCATCCTCCGTCATCGCTCTCATGGCGGTCCTCTTCGCCGTCCTCTCCGCCATCGGCGCGGCCCAGGAGTCTCCGGCTCCCAGCCCAACCTCCCCCGCCGCATCCATCTCCCCCTCGTTCGTCTCCGCCCTCTTCGCCGCCGTCACCGCTCTGGCCTTCGGATCTGCGCT